GGGGGGGGGGCGGTGAGTGGGAGAGCAGGGTGGAGAGCACACTGCCAGTTCAGTAGCGGAGATATCAACCTGGCATCAAACACCATGGCACATCAAAAGGAGACGCTCGCCTCCTCCCTGTGCCTCACACTTTATCTCCCCAACCCCTTCTCTTCCCTCTGTTAGCGAGGCTGATGTCGCCCACTCCCGCTCCAGGAGGGGGTGATGCAAAAGCTCTCCAGTCTCCCCTCTCTCGCACTCGTGATGGGCTTGGCACGAGAAGAAAGAGCAGTGAGAGCCGTGTAGGGAGAGAGAAGGGTAAACCCTCCATGTTAGAGATTTACATTGTGACATTAAAAGCCAGAGTTGCTGGGGGCCGTTGCCAGCATGGCGGGGTGTAGTTTCTCTATGCCAGCTCCCCGTCTTAGAAAATGGTCGCCTCAGACAGTGCCCAGAGAACGTCCATTCTACTTCTGTAGACTTTGTGCATGGGGAATGTAGCAACGTCTGAAAGACAATGCTGCCTAAAACGTAGCAATATCTCCAACAGCCAGCAGGGGGCGAGTCCTCTGCAGAAAGGAGTTTATGAGAAAATGACCCTACTTTTGATTTCTTTCATGATTCAAGATGTTCCTTGGTCTCAATCACTATTGTTGAGTCTTTTTAATGCAGCTTGCTGTCGAAGTCAAATAGAGCATACAGATAGTACTCTTTTTGTATCATAGGGCTCTATGTTGCTGCCATACTGAAGAGGATTATAGCCCAGTGAATTCCTTTTTGAGATCTAAGATTAATAGTCCGAATTATTACATTATTCTCAGAACTCCGTCAATCAGAATTCTGACTAATTTCAGAATTTAAAAAATGTGGCCCTAATCGTCTTCAGTACTCCCACACCTGGGCGAGTTCCTCCACTGTTTGGATATCATTATGTTAGGTCTAGCAAACAAGCAAGAACCACAGGAGGCCCCTCACTGGTACATAAACAAAGCCAGTGTTTAAGAGCAGGACTAGGCTGGGTCTCCCTGAAATACTAGTAGCTCAGTTCTACTTCATACCTTTCAAGAAAACTGTCTGTAGTAATTCATCACTGAAGTCTCTTCTGGTGCAGCCGTATGCACCTGAATGACAGGCGTGATGTTAAGATGCATGATGGGTGAGAGTCTCCCCTCACTTTGGTTGTACAAACAGGACTGCAGAGGTATTTCATGATTATTTATCAACAAAAAGCCAATGCGCCATTTGTAAAAATATTAGCAGCAGCTTGCTAGTAATAGAGTGGTGCAGTAATCAGTCCTAAGAACGCGATTAGTAAACATCGTGCCACTTCCTGTTCCCTCGCCTTGAAGTCGAGGTTTTATGAACATGTTTTGTGGTTAAAGCCTGAAATAAGTTATGTTGGTAACACACACAAAGCTTTAGTGATGAGGTAGTGTATTAATACGGGCCATTTAGGAGTCATTACTGTAATAGTTCAACTTAAATTCACATATTAATGTCAAACCACCTCTCGGAGTGAATTATACAAATAAAACCCCAGTGTGGGAGGAAAAAGCTGGACCCTCATGCTTCTTTGCCTCTTGTTCTGTCTCTCCCTCTCCCTCTTCATCCTGCATCTGGTAATGCTTTCAAGTCATCCAAGCCTGGAAGAAAACCCAGCAACATTTACGCGCATGGTTGGACACTGTTTGTTTTGTTCACCTCCCAAACCCTCTCCTCTCTCTTTGTGCCTCCCTCATTGTGTTTTTCTTTCTCTCAGACAATCCAAAATAGAAAAAAACACTATTTACTGGATTTGGTTGATGTATGGCTGGTTGACCTCCTCCTACACCGGGTCTTCACAGGAGATCACATGCAGGAACTGTTAGCTTCATCAGTATTCTGAGAGAGAGACGCTGCAGCATTTCATTCACCCCCCCTGCTCTATGTGGGTGGGATCTGCAACCTGTACGGCACCGGCCCCTCAACTGAGACCCCCACCCACCTGGTACACCGGGGGGGGGGAGTGAACACACCTTTTGTTTTAACTTCAAAGCCTCCTGCCCAGTGTCTGAAGGGAGAAAGCCTCTCAGCCTCTCCCAGTGAGAGGCCTCCTTTTTGGGCTTTGTATAACCACAGACACACACACAGTCACACACACACACACACACACACACACACACACACACACACACACACACACACACACACACACACACAGAGGTAGCCAGCTGTGTTGCTAAGGGAGTACATGTATTTGTACCCAGCCACTCTGAGCCCACTAGTTATGGGGTTCCGCTCCATTTACCTGTGGTTATGCCTTTGTTACAGGAAGCAGTGCACTCAGGAACAAAGGAGCGCTTTGAGCTTTTCCTGCACCGTGTTCTTTCTGTCTCACTGGACATCATGCATGTTAGGGAGCCATTTAAAGGTTTTTAAAGATTTATTCTGAAACAAACTAACAAAGACAAATTAACCCATCTGGTGGTTTCCAGGTTTTAGACTTTTTCCAGAACAGTAGGAGCAGGAAATTCAGTTGTTGTTGTTATTAAATGTGAAAGCATTCTGTACAAAAAAATAATCGTCTCAGTCACACGTCATTGCTCTTTCCTAAAAGCACAACACGTCCTAATGCTTCCAACACCTGTTTCAAAAACTCTCTCTTTGTCAACCTAGTGGTTTATCATCCTAGATATGTATGTGATCTAGAACAGTGGTTCTCAACTGGTGGGTCGCGGACCCGTTTCGAGTGGGTCGCAGATGTGTGAGTGAAGAAAAATAAATTGAAAAAATTCCTTTTTCTTTTTTTTTCGGCAAAAAGTCAAACTTTTATTTTGAAGGACGATTGCCTAACGCTGTGCATGCAGTAGACGTTGGACTGGAAGTACCGGAGAGTCGGAGACCATAAACGGGTTTGAAAATGTCTGTCACGTAGTGATCATCTTCTCAATAAAACATCTTTGCTGATGTTTTTTCGAGTCTTCTGGCCAATCAGAATCAAGATTGTTGCCGGAAGTCCCCACGGAGAATAACTTTGCGGTAGAACTATTCTTTATACATCCATGGGTACAACTTCAGCTACAAATGAACACATAATGAAATATGACCCCCGGTTTGATGATTGACAGGTCACAGAACAATGGGGGCTATCTACCCTTACCCACAATTTAAAGTAAGTCACAAAGACTATCTCCTCTTTGCTCTTCGGTTATTGCTAGAAAGGATCCGTCTTGTGTAAAACTCTCGCGAGAGTTTGGCTGAATGTCACGTGGCTGAATGTTTACGTTTGGCAGGCAGCCTTTCAGTTACGATCGTTAACATCAGTTGGCCACAGCAAATGATGGTGAGAAGCTAAACTATCTATTAATTATGTCAATTAGAGGGAGTGTGATTGTTGAAATAGGGTGTTAGCGGTCTTGTTGGTGTTCAAAGAAGAATGACAACACTGTAGATCACCAACACTATGGTTTATTTTTTATTCACAGGCAAGTCAACGTTGTCGCAGTAAAAGTCCCAAGATAGCTCCTGGTGCAATAAAATGTTCCCTTGCAGTGTTTTACTATTAAGTCTGATGTTTCTCTATTAATATTGCTGCTGCATTAATGTGTATGTTGCATCATGTTACTGCTGTCGATGTGTTTCCGAGCCGCTCCGATTACAACGAGAGTTACAACGAGGACGTGACGTCATATTTACACTAGACGGATCCTTTCTAGC